TTTTATGGATTCTTTAAATGCAGGTAAAATGTGGTGGACAACATGTTTCTGTGTAGAATTGAGCCTCTTCTAGTGATTGGCTGTGCTGTTGCGACATTCCTTGAACTGCTGTTCAAGCCATAGCCCTTAATTTTATCACTGCAGAACTTTGATTTAATTTAATCACTTGAGTGCCAAGATTAACAGACCTGTTTGGGAGGGATTTCCTCTTTGGTTCTGCTCAAACCAAGTTGCCCTGTTTCACTATTTGACCTTGTGGCCAATCCTTTATTAACCTATTCTTGAATGTTTATGGTGTGGATGCCAGCATGCACACCAGTTTTAAAGCTATTTTGTAAATGATCAAGTAGATCGAATGCAATCTGGTTTGCATATTCAAAATCCAGCACCTGTATGTTAATCAAGGTTTCCGACTTTCTGCCAAATTATGCTCTCAAGCTGCACCTTTCTCCTTCTCCCTCTCACTGTTGTGTGCCAAATCAGGACTGACATACATGGCTCAATTCTAGCTAATCCACCATTACAATGAGAGATCAAACAGTTGTCTTTGCTTGAGCTAGTCGTTTAAATATTCTCTACTCCAACTCTTCGAGCCACCCCATTCCCCTCCCCACTCTGCAACTGTGCCCCAGTTGGAAGACTGCTTTTTGTCCTGACTGCAAAATAGCCCACGAACTCTCTGTATTCTTGTTGGTTTTCTTTTCCATACTCTCTCTGCATTGCTACCTGACGTAGGTGCTTGATCTATAATGTCATTTCAAAGTGAACAAACTGCTGGTGAAGAGAGGGATGGTGGTGCAGAGGAAAAGTGGGGGACAGTTTCTTTAAGTCTTATTTTAGTTGATCAGCGGAACTTCTTCTCATATTACATAGCTCCTAAGCAATTGGTACAGTGCACTTCACCTCTTGAACAAACAGTTGTTAGACCCAGAAGCTGCCCAGTGAAGACAAAAAATGCCTTTCAGGACGAGGGTCATCAGCCTGAAGTATCAACTTGGTTTCTGTCTTTGGGAGCTGCTGAGTTTCTTCAGCATTCTCAGTTTTCAGATTTGCAATGTTCTGCTTTTGTATTACTGAAAATTTTCCAAATCATTTTCTAGCTTCACTTGCTATGCTGCCATTTTGATGACTGATTGCTCGTTTCTGTGCAGTGGAGATAGTTGCCCAGTTTCATAGCATGAAACATACGCGCACATGCGCACGCACAGACACACCACCTGTGGCCTAAATCGGTGCGTCCCAAATGGTTTCCCATGATGGTCCCTATTCTAATACTCAACAATGTGTACAGTGAGAACTTAGAGTTCCTGGCTGGAGTGGGGATTGGGGGGGGTGCAGGGAAGTTGCGGCCCTGTGATAATAGCACGGCAGCTGGGGCATGGCCTGTTGCGACCAGGCGCCTGTTGAAATGGGAGCACTTCCCAAAGTGGGGGTCAGGAGCTGAA